GGAAAGGATAAGATGATCACTAACCTGACGTCTAAATAACGGTGACCTACACTAAGAAGACCTTTAACGGAGTATACATCGACGTTCACAACATCTTCAGCCCTACAAACACATGAAAAAAGATATATAATTTTTTGACTTAAAGTTTCAAAAAGAAATGTCATAATTATATGAGAAAACAAAATCAATTATCAAAAGCCCACTTCTTAACAGCAGCCATTGAATACAGAAACTATAACAAGAAGCGTTATATCTGGCTTTTGATTTCTCTTCAACTATCGATACGACGATATTTAAATGGCTTCAGGCGCGCGCGCGCGCATATATATATATATATATATGTATGTACGTATATACACACACGAAGTGGTGGAATGCATGTTTGTTGACTTGTTGAAATATTGGCATTTAACCCTGCAAGCGTTGACTTTCATTTCCAGTTCTCGCTATTTGCTTGTGTTTATGAGTTTGATTTTTAACCACTGACCTTTTTCATATTATTTTTTTTAGCGAATAACCATTGACCTTGATTATAAAAAAAACAAACACGCTTATGACGTACGTACGATAAAGTTGACTTGAAATTGTATATATTTGTTACGCATCATGCATGACACATGATTTTCCTTGATTATATAATTTCAGCTAGGCAACTAGAAGCTACCTTTAATTAATTTATTCTTTGAATTGTGTCTAATATACCCTAATTCAGAATATATATACATGTATACGTCGTCGTCGTCAAGTTATGTTTGTGGATCTAAATCATGTCCACTATTAATATTTATGTATTTCTCCAAAATAAAAAAGAAAGAAATAAAATATTTTCGTTAACTACTTGAGTAGGCTTCGTGCAAAAAGTCAGAAATAAGAATGTTGTCCTGCGCTATTTATATTTCATTTCGTTTTAGAAACAATACGTTATATGTATATTAATTTTTTTTTTTAAATATATGTTATATGCATATTTGTCTATCTATGTGTATATTCTATCATTTTAAGTCTTGAACGGTAGAAATAATCACCAACCCCCGATTTATGTTATTTGTCCTATTTTGATGCCCAAACTTCAAAACGTTAAAACTTAAATCCTAAACTATACTCCTTGTCCAGCTCTTGGCCATGTAGTCACAGAAATCATTAAAAATTCAATAGTATCAACTATGTGACCTTCACATCACTAGTTAATGAAAGGTATTTAGATTATTTAAATTATGTGCCTATAAGATAAATTTAAATAAATTTAGCCCGTCCATGCTTCGTTATCTAACGAGCTAGTAGAGGCAAAAGGTAGGGTGCATTTGGAATTAGTTTTAAAATTATTTTGTTTTTAATAAAAAGTAAAAATGAGATTGTTTTTAGAATTATTTTGGAACTGATTCTGAAATTGCGTTTGGTTGGTTTAATAGATTGTTTTGAGTATAATAAAAAAGTAAAATCGCGTTTATTAATTAATATATTATAATATTGTTGATAAGTACTAAAAAATAAAAATAGAAAAGTGAAAACAACTTTCAACTGTTTTCTAATTCTTTCACAAAAATCATTCTCACTATTTTTCTTTTCATTTTCGTTTTCAAAACATATGCTAAACAAACGTCGCTTCGTTTTCATTTTCATTTTTTGCTTCTCAAAATACATAAAAACCGTTTTCAAAAACAGTTCCAAACACACGCAATTTTTCTCTATTTTTCTTTATTTTTCATTTTTTTGATTTATTCAAGTGTCATTTCAAAACACTTCGTTTTCATTTTCATTTTTTGCTTCTCAAAATACATAAAAACCGTTTTCAAAAACAGTTCCAAACACACGCAATTTTTCTCTCTTTTTCTTTATTTTTCATTTTTTTGATTTATTCAAGTGTCATTTCAAAACACCCTTCATTGATGAGTAATGTGAGCATCACATGGTCATGGTCGATTTTGTTGAGTTTCTAACAATTTTTGTGACTGAAAGGCAAAATATGGGACAAAAAGAATAGTTTAGGGGTGTAATTTATAACGTTTTCAAGTTTGAGAATGAAAATAAGATAAGTGACAAAGCTCATGGGCCAAAAGTGAAATTAACTCTAACTATTTCCCAATGCATTTATTATTATTATTTTTTTTAGTTTTCTCCCTGTCCTTGAATTCCCAGCAAAATTCATGCGTGATTGGCTAGTGAAATTGATAACAACTACGAGCGAGACGGTCATTGACTTGATCTACACTTCTAGTCTAAATGCATTAATATTCTAAAGAAATACAAGCGCTAATTGATTATAAGCATATTACTTTCAAAACATATTTAATATTATGGTGCAACTTTCTAAACAAATTAATTATAATCATAATGTTCCTTCACAACAAATTAATCATAAGCGCATTACTTTCAAAACAAAGTAATTGTAACCATTAATTGCTAACCAACTTTCATTCTCTTCTTCTTCTTCTACTTCTCGATCCTTTTTCTTGTTCCTATTATATCTACAGAACCACAGATTGAGTACAATGATCTAAGCTTTTTTTCTTTTCTTAAAACAAAAAAACCCTCTGTGCGCGGTAGATATATTTGGTTATTTTACTATATATGGCAGAAATAACAAGTGTTCAAAATCCAGGATTCAAATGCTTTCCTGAGTTCAATGTCTCTCCCATCCGCAAGGCATAAAATATATTACTCTTTCTATAATTTTATCTCGTATTATAGACAGGAGAAGGGATATTATTTATTCACTCTTTTTTCTGCTATATATGTTATAAGTTACAATTTAGGAAGAAAAGGTACACATAGGAAGATGCTTAATTAATATATGAGTGGACAACGTTATGCTCCTTTTCAATGCATATTTTCTCAATCATTTCTGTTGTTTGTAGAACAATATTATATATCTTCACATATATGATCTAATGATTCTGTAATATACTCAAGATCTCGATCCATTGATCTCAACACTGTTATTACCTTTAGAAGTTGATTCTGTAATTCATTTTTTATTTTTTTTATTTTTTTGTGTTTTTTTTATTAGTGGTTAATTGGCCTTTTTTTAATTAATAAATTCTCATTATGAATGATAATTAATAGCTCGAGAATTATACTGTCTTATCAGTACGGCTATATCCTTTAAAAAAAATTACAAGCTATATATATGGGATATTTTTTTTCTTTTGAGAATTATAATATGTTAGTTACTTTGCTTTTGTATGACAATTCAGTAAGAATTCTTGGTTTTTTAGTTTAGTGAAAACAGACTTATAAGAACATGTGAATTCCAGATGTGACAATACACATACATATATATTATACATATATATAAACTAATTAATAGTAGTGTGGCATATTTAGCGTTGCACTATAAACACGATCTCACTATTTTCACAAAGGCATTTAAAATAAGTGGCCATGTACTGCAGCTTGGAGCGGAGTTCATTGGGACATTCATAATGATATTTGCGGCAGCAGGCGCCCCCATTGTGAACCAAAAATACAACGGAGCCGAAATGCTGATCGGTAACGCGACAAGCGCGGCGCTGGCGGTGATGGTGGTTATTTTCTCGACGGGCCACATCTCCGGGGCTCACCTAAACCCTGCCGTCACCATCGCATTTGCTGCGCTCCGGCACTTCCCTTGGTCCCAAGTTGTCCCTTACATAGTGGTTCAGGTTTTAGCTTCCATCTCCGCCTCTTTCGCTCTCAAGGGTGTCTTTCATCCCTTCATGTCCGGCGGGGTTACGGTCCCTGCAGTGAGCCATGGCCACGCTTTTGCCCTAGAGTTCATCGTCACCTTCATTCTCATGTTTATTATTACTGCTGTGGCCACAGACACTCGTGCGGTACGTACAAAAAAAAGACTCAAATTTGATCACTTGCGTATGCGTTCTGATCAGTAAACAAAAAATTAATACATGCCATGTTCGAGATTGTATTTCTCAAATTTATTAAAATTATGTAATCGACAACTAGTTTTAACCCATCAATTGATGAATTAACCCTTCTTGGTTTTTAATCCTTATTCCACACTCCAGAAATCATCACACCAAATTATTAAGAAAATAGGTTAGAATAAATACTTGTCTCCATTAGTGCGGCCTTACTCTCAAGTCGAACTCTCTAAGACAACGAGCACGTCGATTTATTGTCTTCCTCAGTCAAATCACCAGATACTTGAATGAGCATTCTCTCTCTAAATGAGAAAGAGAGAAAACGGCTGAATGATTTGACATATTGGAAACCATAACCTAAGTTTCTTTATATATTGTCTTATTAGGCTCTCATTATACCTAATTGGATCAATATTGAGTATCTATCCATTTAGTCCATACCCAATTAGAAGACTATTTAAGCTCTCCACAATTAGTCCACTTAATTAACCTAATTAATTAAATAAGGTCAATATAATTGTTATAAATATGTAGCCCACAATTATTATTAGAAAAAATAATTTCCCAACAGAGATTTTTAAGTTACAATTTAAAATGTTAGATTTTGGTGGCAAATTTTCTCTATTTAATAAACTGTAAAGGTTAAATATGTTAATTTAATGGCTAAATAAATTATTGACATAGAAAAGATATAAATTTGTCATAAATGTGAAAATAAGAGGTATATTCTCAACTACATCCAAAATACTATATATATGTCACACACACATATATAATCAAAATACAAGATATAAAATCGTTAAAAAAAAAAACCATTTTACCATACATGTTTCCTTCAAACAAAAGAGGATCAATATATAAGTTTGCTACCTCTTCCTCTAGAACTTCAATTTAATTAGACACCACTGGTAATCTGTACAGTCTAGTTTTTTCACATTCTGTTACATTTTTCACGTTAGTTTGTTGGACAGAGTTCCTCAAAATTTCCATCCACGAAATTGACAAACCATCGTGACAATAAGTGCGAAATGTGACAACCTTCTAGCTAGGAGATTGCGGACACAATAATTTGGTGGCATATTAAGACGACAACACTTGTTAATAATCCTGAAATTTAGATATTGCCTTTTGATTTCTTATGGGTGAGACTTGAGAGGAAAGTCATGTCAGGTGGGAGAATTGGCCGGTATAGCGATTGGAGCTACTGTTCTACTCGACAATCTCATCGCAGGGTTAGTACCCCCTCCTTCTTGAACTTAAGGTTTTTTTTTTTCAAAAATAATTTCATTGAAAAACGTGAAAACCGTTTCAATACCAATACGGTCGTTAATTAAACGACAGACCAACAACAGGTGCCTCAATGAATCCTGTAAGGACTCTGGGTCCGGCAATTGCGGCTGGGAATTACAAAGGAGTGTGGATTTACATGGTGGCACCACCACTTGGAGCCTTAGCCGGGGCAGCCACCTACACAGCAGTAAAGCTTTCAGACAAGAAACCACCAAATCAGGTTTTTTTTTTTTCCTTTATTTATTTAGGACAAGTAGTACTCCAGTACTTATATGTAATGCTTGTTTGTCACCTGTTTTCTTTCATTAAATAACCATACTAAAGTTTATGGCTCATAAATGGTCTATATTAAAAATGAAAAAAAATGTTATGTACAAGAAAATTAAATGGTGTTAGAATGTTCACTCTAGCTATGTAACACTTTTCATTTTTTCATCACCTGAGCTAATTTAGATATACAATCAAGTGCTAAAATTGAATGTTTGTGATTTTCGGCGATAGATACATGATGAATCTGGTCGTCAGGATGTCCCTTCAGCTAGTTATAGTCCAGCTCCTTCCGCTTCACAGGGTAATTAAGAAACTATCACATGTGTGTATATATACATATACACACGCATATATATATATATATATATACACACACACATATAAATTTATATCTGACTACATGAGTAATTGTAGTGCATGATATGTTTCTGAAACGTTCAAGTAAATGGTATATTTTTAAACGATGAAGATGTCAATAGTTTATTTAGAAGTAAAAAAAAGTATTAACGTCGGATAAATACATATATATTCGCCAATATAATATACTATTTAATTCACGTTTTAAAAGTATGCTATTTATTTAAACAACATTTGAAAAACATATATATATATATATATGTGTGTGTTATTTATTTAAAAAATGTTTCAAAACTATGCTATTTGCCTCTTTGAACTTGTCTTCACTTTTTAAGGAGGACCATATATTCTTCCACCATAACATATAAAAGTGAAATCCACCATAACATGTAAAAGTGAAAACGTAACAAGATAATTATTTCTTATAACACTTACGTTGAAAATGTGAATTAAATGTTTGTATCACTTTAAATAACTAAATTAAATTTAAAAGTATAATAATAGTCTAGCTAACTAAATTTCTCAAAGCTTTGTTGCCGGTATAATCCTGCTATGTTGTCATTAAATTTCTTAAATAATATCTATATTACATTAAATAATTGTCATTAATTTACGTCTCTCACTCTACTTGCTATGTTGCAGGTATAATCCTGCTGAGGGTCGAACCATAGTAAAACCTTATATATATGTTACGGGTTTTTACAGATGATCTTATTGGTGTAATTAATTTATACTATTTGACTGCGCGCAGGTCACATACTATGAGCTGGTATTGATCTCTCAAAGGAAAAGAAAAAAAAAAAGCAAATAAATAAACACAGAGAGTTTGTGATAAAAGAAAAGCAAGTATACCTAATTATCGGTTCAAGATTACTTATGCCCACCTCTCTGGTGCTAAAACCATTCTCTACAGGCAAACAATACATGAAATATGAGAAGAAACTGAGAAGAAAGATGTACCGATGCAACCAACAAATTAAGCCACAGTTCTCAAGTGGTCACTCTCAACCAATAAATGCTCTCTATGTTGTCTTCGTTTTCACAAAGTCAATCTTTTTTCTCCTATTTGGTAAATTTGGTTGTCTTATTTATTACCACCTCCAATTCTGTATAAATTGAAGAATTACATTGCCTTGTAACAAGTTTATTAAAACTGAAAAATGGTGCTTTTTTTTTTTTTTTTTTTTGGCTGAATAAACACTTTTCATTAAGAACCAAAAAGATCCCCTTGGATCATGGCCACCACAGAGCGGCGGCTGTGTGAGGGGGGGGGGGGGGGGGGGGGGGGGGGGGGTGGACCTCCCTAAGAGAAAATTGGCCAGACATCTTAGAACCTCTAGCCCAGTGACAAAGAGCATCAGCTGCTCTATTCTTAGTTCTAGGAATAAAAGCAAAGCTTACTCCAGTACACAAAGCTACTAATTCCAGAACAATATCAGTAAAAATGCCTTGAAGTAACCAGTGTGAGGATTGATCTCTAGCATTTAAAGCATCCACAAATAGCTTAGAATCACTTTGGATGATAACCTCCTGCCAACAAAAATGGTACATTCTTCAAGGGGTGCAATTAGCATATATATTATATATTATTCCAGTCATTGTGCCTCTAAGGTATGTGACATAGGTGATAAACAACATAAACTATGATAAAATTGGTTCTTAACGCTATAATAAAAAGCAGGATAAATTTTATTTTTGCCTCTCAAATTTTAGTATTTTTGTCATTTTGCCCCTAAACTTTGAAAAATGGTATGCTCACCCCTCGAACTTTAAAACATTATTAACTCTGTCCCTTCCGTTAAGTTTATTAATGGATTTGATGATGTGGCCGGATTATTTTCATAAATACCCCATGAAGTATGTATCTTATTTAAAAATGACTCTTGATATACGAAAACATATCAAAATGATCCTTAATTTATAAAAAAAATAATAATAAAATAACAATTTTATTGATACCATTAAAAATTAATTACACATTAAATTCTAATGAAATCAATGAAAGTGATTAAATATTAAAAATAATAAAAAATATAAAACATTTTACTTTAAAGAAATTCAAAAATTAAATAAATCAAATATTTTTAAAAAAATAAAAAATCCAAAAGTAAAGAGGAAATTTTATTTGAAAAACCTACTTCCTCTTTGTAAATATTTATTTAATTTTGAAACATTTTCCTCTTTTCTTGTTTTGATTTTTTTAAAAATTATTTATTTAATTTTTCAATTTTTAAATTCAAGTGTTTTTTATTATTTTGTATTTTTTTTTAAAAATTTTGATCACTTTTCTTGATTTAATTTCAATTTAATATGTTTGATTAATTTTTAATGGCATGTCATATCAACTAAACTATTAATTTATTATGTTTTTCTATAGATTAGGGGGCATTTTTAAATATGGTACTTACTTTGGGGGCATTTATGAAAATAATCTAACTAAAAAGAAAGAAAAGTAAACAAACAAAATTGAAATCAATAAAGAGTAAAGAAATGCCTAAATTAAAATCGAGCTACTTACTGACAATATTAGCAACAATCTAAAACGCCAATCCTCAGCAACGACGCAAAAGACTTATTCACCCCACAAGCATAAGGTGTCAAGTTTTAATAGTAAAGGGTGAGTAAGTATTGTCTCCATAAGGATTGAGTATTAAATTACCGCTAAGTACCGCGATTATCGTAACTTGACTTTATCTAGGCAACCGAACTAAATGAAATTAAAATAGAACTAGAACAAATATAAATACGAAAATAAAATAAAATATGGAAACTTCTATGCACAAATGTACTAGGGACTTAACTTCACCTTATCATTCTTATGTTCATCCCATCAAACCATTGCTAGCTAATTCTACTCAATTCATTAATCAAGAGATCTAATCTAACCTCGTTACCTCTCCTGAGCATCAAACGAAGTCATATGCATGAATACCCGAATCAATATTCTTATCTGACCCGGTTACTCATACACTCATTAAATTTAGCTTTTAAATTAAAAATCAAATGTCAATCGCCTCCCAACCTCACTACAACCTAAATTTCTTCCTACGCTAGCGCCCAATTATAATATCAACCATTTTCTGAAGGATGATTCTAAAAATCTAAAACAAAAAATTCTACTTCCGAGGTTCTTTTAATAAATATTTCCTAAAATTTTTACTCGCATCATTTTCGTGTTTCTGATTTTTTGTTATTTTTTCTTACCTAAGTTCTTAAATTCACGGAATTTTATATGTTATTAGTGTTTAGTGGTTAGTGATTTGGTACCAAACGAGGGAGATGGCTATGACTTTTTATACCTCTATTTATTCTATATGAAATACAAACAATTTTCGAACGCAATTGAAGTGTGCGCATAATACTTTTCAAAACAAATTAATTTTTTTTTCAAAACCAATTAATGATAAACAACATTACTTTCAAAACAAATTGATTATGAACTAATACGTACCTTCACTCTTTTTTTTTCTTCTTTCTCTACTTATATATATAT